TGTCCCCAGCTGTCCCCAGCTGTCCCCAGGTGTCCCCAGCTGTCTCCAGGTGTGCTCAGGTGTCCCCAGGTGTGTCCCCAGGTGTGTCCCCAGGTGTCCCCAGGTGTCCCCCTGTCCCCGCAGCCATCATCCTGCGGAACCTGCACCCCCAGAGCAGCCTCGAGTCCATCCTGGCCGCGCTCGCCCCCTTCGCCGCCCTCTCGGCCGCCAACGTCCGCGTCATCAAGGACAGACAGACACAGCTGAACCGCGGCTTCGCCTTCGTGCAGCTCAGCACCATCGTGGTGGGCACTGGGGGCACTGGGAGGGACTGGGAGGGACTGGGAGGGACTGGGACAGGATTGGAGGGCACTTGGAGGGACTGGGAGTGGATTTGGGGCCACTGGGACACACTGGGGTGCACTGGGAGGGGATTTGGGAGCACTGGGATGGACTGGGAGGGGATTTGGGAGCACTGGGGTGCACTGGGAGGGGATTTGGGAGCACTGGGAGGGGATTTGGGAGCACTGGGATGCACTGGGAGGGGATTTGGGAGCACTGGGACGCACTGGGATGCACTGGGACGCACTGACGGGCGGGCGGGCGCAGGAAGCGGCGCAGTTGCTGCAGATGCTGCAGGCCCTGCACCCCCCCCTGCACATCGACGGCAAAAGCATCAACGTGGAGTTCGCCAAGGGCTCCAAGAGGTGAGGGGGTGGGGCCTGGAGGGGGCGGGGCCTGCAGGGGGCGGGGCCTGAGGGGGCGGGGCCTGCAGGGGTGGGGCAGCACACCTGGGCACCACCCTGGAGCTGCTGCTGTGCCAGGCCCCGCCCCCAGAACCACACCTGTTGTGGGCCACACCCCCTGACCCCACCTCATCACACCTGGCACAGGCCACACCCCCAGAACCACACCCAACACAGGCCCCGCCCCCAGAACCACACCCAACACAGGCCCCACCCCCAGAACCACACCCAACACAGGCCACACCCCCAGAACCACACCCAACACAGACCCCGCCCCCAGAACCACACCCAACACAGGCCCCGCCCCTTTTGACGCACCCTTCTCTTTGGTCCCGCCCACCCGGCCCCTCCCAGAGCTCAGGCCCCGCCCCTTACACGAGGCTCCGCCCCCAGGGATGTGCAGGGGGCGGGGCCAGGGGAGGGGCCCCCCCGCGCCAGCGCCGCCTCCGTCGCCTCCACGGCCATCGCTGCCGCCCAATGGGCATTGTCACAGGTGAGGGGACACCGGGACAGGGGAGGGGACACCTGGACAGGTGATGTCACACCTGCACAGGTGGGCGGGGTTATGGGGTGTGACCTGGGTGTGGCCAATGAGGTGGGAGGGGCTTCAGGAACTGGGGCGGGGCTCCAATAGGGGTGCACTTTAAACCCTGGGGGTGGAGCTTGGCCGGGAGGGGGCGTGGTTTGCTCGATGTGGGCGTGGTTTCACACTGAGGGGGCGTGGCCTGTTCTGTTCCCACCCCCAGGCGGCTCCAGGTTCAGACACGCCCTGGGCGGGGGGGGAGGAGCCCAGCGCTGACTTCAGCGGTTTCTACCAATCGGAGGAGCCGTTCCCCGGGCCTGGCCCCGCCCTCTACGGCCCCGCCTACCTGAAAGGAACCTCGGCCCCGCCCCCCGGCCCCGCCCTGCCCGGCCCCACCCCCAGCAAGGCCGATGGCCCCGCCCCTGGTGAGTGCTGGCACCCAACCAGGTGTGACCTCCCCTCCCCCAGGTGTCCCCAGGTGTGGTTTCCTCCCTCGCCAGGTGTCCCCAGGTGTTCCTGAACATCCCCCAGGTGTCCCCAGGTGTTCCTGAACATCCCCCAGGTGTCCCCAGGTGTCCCCAGGCCCCCCATGTGCCATCCCCAGGTGTTCCCAGACATTCCCAGATGTCCCCAGGTATTCCCAGGTGTCTCCACGTGTTCCCAGGTCTTCCCAGGTGTTCCCAGGTGTTCCTGAACATCCCCCAGGTGTTCCCAGATGTGGGCCCTCCCTTTCCCAGGTCTTTCCAGGTGTGGTTCCCTTCCGTCCGTGTGTTCCCAGGTGTCTCCAGGTGTTCGCAGACATTCCCAGGTGTCCCCAGACGTTCCCAGGTGCCCCCAGGTGTGTCCCCTCCCCCATAAATGACGTCACTTCCTGAGCGCTTGGCGCCCCCTGCAGGCCCGGAGGAGCCGCCCCAGGACCCCGCGGGGGGTGGGGGGGGGGCCGGGGGGGGGGGCCCCTTCCCCCCCCGCGCCCCCCCCGGGGCCACCCCCTACCCCTCCCCCACCACGGAGACCCCCGCGGCGACACCCCCGGGACCCCCCGGCCAGGTGAGACCCCAAAATCGGGGGGGGGGAGGGGAGAGCAAAACCCAAAATTGGGGGAGGGGGCGCCCTAAAACCCATGGGGGGAACCCCAAAAATTGAGGGGGGGGAGTTGGGACCCCAAAATGGGGGGAGATGAGGGGGGAGGGGGCTGTAAACGGGTGGGGGAGGGG